CCTTCTACAGGAATTTGAGTTAGATAACATTACTTAAAAATTCTAGTATAAATCAATAACATTTCATGACCATTTTTTAAAAGGCTGAGGCACTGCCAAAACGAAGTGAATGAATATTCTTACATCAGAATACATTTTAGACAAGATGTGGAGAATTTACTAAAATTGCTTATGATTTTATTTTTAAATGATGGGTTTGGGTGGTACTCAAAAAGTAACTACAGAAAAACACATACAACTGTGAATTAACAAATTTAAAAATTTGTTTTTAACAAAGAAATGGTCAAACTAGGACATGTCAATAATTAAAGTTCACTAAATATAAATACCTGAGATGCGAAGCAAGATGGGGCCGTTTAGGACAAAGCAGCTTGGCTGAAAAATGGGCAATGTAAGGTGGCGATTTCTGGGGCATCTCCTTATTTGTACAGAGGAAAGTGTCACATTTGCTGCTACAGCCTTTGTTCAAGTGGGCTATAACCATACTGTACCCACAAGGAATTCTGGGAAGTGCTTCAAAATTATCCACATCTTTCCTAGGTCAGCCACAATTTAGAACTGAGAGGGAATAGAGAAAGCACACTTTCAAGTAGAGACACATGGGAGAAAATGTGTTGATTAGTTACACAGAAAGAACCTTCAGAGACGCTATCATCCTGCCGACTATCAGAAGAGCCCACAGGAACTCCAGCCTCCCCTACTTATGCCTCTCCCACCTGAGCGATACAGAGCGCCATGGGAGGATTTAGGATGTTACCATGTTTGTTACCGTAGCTACAAAGGTTATCCTGCCATATCCAGGCCATAAGCATTTTTACTTTCTAAGAGTTTCCCTCTGAAACTGCACAAATAGGCTGCTGAATATATAAAGACCTGTTCATGAAATGTTCTTTTCATTAAGAGTTACAGGGAAATCATTTCATCTACCAGAAATCAGATAAAAATTAGAAAGAGAATCAAAGCTATTTTTCATTAGCCCAACTGGTGTACAACTAGGGCTTAAGCAGCTGTTTTCCTGCATATTGTTTTTGCAATTTCTACATTTTCATTTTTCTCACTTTCTAATGCTATTACCACTTTCTGTTCAGCCTCTACATTCTAGTAAGGCATCTGACCCACAGCATGACTTTATCCCATGAGATCGGGCTGTAATTTTATGAGAACATAGTCACAAACACTGCATGAATATTCAGAGTAAAGGCTCAACTACACAGCTGACATTTCAAACTGCTGGCAGATGATTAAATAACTATATCCCACTTGCCATGCAAATTAACGTGAAGCTTGGGAAAGGCAGGCTAGCACACATCCCAGGCTTGGTACTACATTTTCTTTTGTTTTATGCATTTGAGTCATTTATGCTTAAAAACCGCCAACTGAATTTTTTTTTTTTTTTAAATCGAGGCCAAATTAACAGAGCCACTTCTTCCTATGCCCAAGAATGTGCCATGTAAGGGAATGTTTTGTAGTAAGTTTTGCTTTGTTGAGTTTATTTTCAGTGTGAAGTTTAAATAGCACAGCATCCAAAGGAGAAATAGAAGGTTCCTTGTCTTTACGCCCCTTGTGGGGGGACTTTGTTATTTCGATGAACAAAGGAATCTGGGTGTTCTTCGTTCAGAACCAGCTTAACAATAAAACTAATGCAAGCAGCGGGATCAGCGTGGAGGAGGAGGAGGAGACGCTGGGGACGAACCTGCGGAGGTCTGGGGCACCATCTTGCTGACTTGCCAAGTTTAGGTGCTGTGGTGTGACAGGGAGATGCACTCTACATGCTGCGCGCCCTCAGAACAGCCTGGAACTCCTGGGAGAAGACAGCCAGACAAAGGCCACTTCATGCCTGTGCGCAGTCTCTGTGCCCTGACACCGACCACAGCCACATGCGGGTGTGTGCGCATGCTCAAGAGCACCCTGAAGCGAGCTCGGAAGTGCCTGCTGCAGAGATGGAAAGCACTTCCGTCCCAGAACTCAACAGAACAGTAGATTTGCAACGTTAAATTCTGAGGCGTTGTCAAAGAGATTCCAGGTGCTCCTGATTCCAGTCTGAGTAGCAGCCAGCCCTCTTTCAGCCTACTTTCCCCTCCCCAGTACCTCAGGGGTGTCCCCTATATGGAGAGCTACACTGGTTTCAGGATTCTCATGAAATTCCTCCACAGCATCAGCGGTTGAGGAGTTCACAGGTGAAGTACAGTGCCTGTTGCCAGGACAACATAGTTGCTAAAAGGAGATACCAAGATGAGGGTTGGTGTTTGGTTATTCCAGACTCCTCTCCTTCCTTATTCAGGTGACAAGTCATCACTGGGGGTATCTGTACCACTCTCGTATGTATTTATGGTGTCTCCTAAGAATCCCTAGAGATTTTACAGAGTAGCACATTAATTGTCCTGAGGTCCTCATGAGGCTATAACTTGGGGCACTCATGTGCTTGTATCTCTGAGTGCACACAACCTGCACACTATGCATCTCGGTTGTCCTTTTGGGTACATACTATTCCTATTTATCTTCTCCAGTTTTGTTGATTCTGAAAACCTATATTAATGAAAGGCTCACTTTCTAACAAATGTGGAAATAAAGCTGCTTGGCATTACAGGTCTTCTGGTAAAGACTGCCAGACACTGTATGACACTGAATGGAAATGCTTTCCTAGGGATTCAGACATCCACTGAGCTGCCAGCCTTTAAGACATCTTATATGCCTACATCCTAGTGTCACACAGCTTCCTGTAACCTGTTACTCCCATATAGAATATGTATACACATGTTGGGTAAGTCAGATATCTACAGCTGTGATTCTGTGAAACTCTAAAGAATATAAATGCCTAAGTCCACTCATTCTGTTCCAAATAGCATAGAGTAAAGCCCTACTTCTTAAAGCGGCCTAGGCAGTTTGATGGGCAGGCAGCACTGAAAACTACTAAATATTTAGTTCTTGGCTATTCTAATGATAACGAAATCTAAAATGTCACCGCCCGTTTTTTAAAGTCACCCACAGTAGTGACTATACACAATGCTTCAGAAGTGAACGAGTACATCCTGTTCAAGGACAGAATTCCCTGACATGGAATTGCAGGAAGCTTGAAATTCGCACTCCTTGCTTCTAAGTGCCAAAGAACTTGCCATTGTGACGCACTACACAGTCTTTCTCAGCATTCCCAGCAGCTCCGGAGAGGACTGAGAACCATCACTTGGCTAAGGGCATCAACTTCCAAATGTCTCAGGCACTTTAGGTACCCTTTAGTCCCCAAGTATTGGTTTTAGTTTCTTTGAGATGGTGTCCTGGAGACGTACCTATCACATTTTGGTTCTTAAGGTGGTTACTATCTCTAAGATGCAGTTGTTAAAAATGTAGATGCCTCTGTAATAACAACTGATCAAACATAGAATGTATCTCACTTCTTTTTGTCATGAAGTTCTACCTAAATTCTAGTTCCTCGAATCCACAGCACAAGAAGCCAAAAGTATTTATCAACAGATTCCAACTGCTCATTAACTGCTATCAGTGCAGGCCTTTCTTCCTGCTTCTGCAACTCCCCCCCAAAAAAAAAACAAAAAATGAGAACGAAAACAAAATGAAAAGCAAAAAATTCTCCAACCCCAGACATATGCTACACATAGTATGAGCAGTTATGCTCCGTAGAGAATACCAGTGGTACTCAGAGTAAAATGGATCTGTAGCGGGGAAGCTCTAGATAAGTTGTAGTCCTCCCCACGTTAAACTCCTGGGATTCAAAAGGCTATGACTGGTTCTTGCTTTTGTGGCAGAGCATATTATTGTCACTGCTGAGACCAAGACAGTTCACTGCATCCAGGTCTTGCATTGACCCGCCACCCTGTGAGTACTCCCAAGTTCAGGATGCCAACTGGTGCTGGCCTCGCTGAGTTTGGGGTGTCACGGATGCATTCTGGGTTTCCATTGGGTAAACTACCAACAGGATGGACAGAAGAGGGTCTTTGAGTGTCTGGAGTCTATCCAGGCCATTCTGGGCATATGGGAAAAAAAGGGGTTCTCCTGTTCCCCAGTGTAAGTGTCTGTCTAGAGAGCGACTCCCTCTGGAGCTATGCTTCTAGCCTTGGGTTCTAACTTAATGAAATTCTAGAGAATGTATTCTTTTCCCCACTTGAAATACTTCATATACCTATCTCTACCATGTTTCTTGCTCAGAAGGCAGCTCTGTGTGCAATCTATTAGACAGTGAAGTGTGGGCAGCAAGCTTTACTAGCAATACAAGGCTCCAAGTGAAATAAGTAGAGGCAGAAATACCTGGTTTTATGAGAAGCTGGTCAAACAACAGGTTGGGGATAATTCTTCTCTCCAAGAATGAAGTCCTAATCCATGCTCATGGTTTCAAACACATCATTGCAGACAAACACGTCAGTCTCAAAACACATTACTTAGTCCTCACGAGAGCCATGTTTCATCTACTCCCCATATTTTTCGTAGCTATTTTTTGGGTGTCAAAATTACCTGTTGTCTTGATGCATTAGCATCGTACTTGATAAATCTACATAAAGATATTTTTTTAAAAAAATCCATATATAGATTTATAAAGCCAAGGTATTTATGAATCTATGTGATTTTTGGAACTGTGACCAACATATGGGTGGTCAGCTTTGGGCAATCATGATAGTTAATGACTAAGAAATAATTACTAGAGAATTAGTCCACGTTTACAGTCATCCTGTCAGTTTAATCATTTATGAAGAAGACTACAGATCAATTTGTAAAAGCAGGAGGCAAAAAAATTAGAGTGATTTGTTTAAAAAATGTATTTTCTTACCTGAAATATGTTCGTGCTTGGGCTTCTTATTGAATTTGGTAGTGGTAAGATGAGTCTGGTCTTTTTACAGAAAGAAGCAGTCTTCAGTGTTTTTACAGCATTGGTTATTACAGAAATTATACTTCTTTTACTTCTGGTCTTGAAGGGTGAACAAAATAAACAAACTGAAAATGCTACAATGAATGGTAAATGATGAAAGACTTACAGTACAAAAAACAGTGTAAAAAGGAAGACGAGTTTAAATATTGTTGTGTAGGAAAGTGAGGAAAATAATACAAGGATGAGGATAAGTAAAATGATGGGCTGGAACATCTGGAGAGGTAAACGCAGAGACAAAAAGGAGAGTTAATTAACAACAGTTTCTCAAGCCTGCATTTAAATCAACCAGTCCAAATACTCACTCAAAATAAAGAAACCCCCCTTAAACCTGTATTTACCAAACCTGAAATTATTACTTATAGACAATGCTTTCTCTCACTTTGATTTTGATTTTTCCCCCCGAGAATATAACTAAAAGACCACATGCTCAAGTATTAAAAAACATGGAGCAAGGAAATGAAAAACTAAATATCTGATATAAAAAATAGAAGAAAGTAAATTTTAACATTTCAAAACCCAAGTTTCATGATAAAACTGTTTTCCCCCATCGCAGCAAAGCATAGCAACGTGCAAGATACATAAGCGGCAGGGCTGCGATGTTTTGCTAGCCGTGATGGACAAGCACTGAATCTAACGTCATGCTTCTGCATAAGCTGAAAGGTCAGTGTCTGGCGCGTCTCAGAAGCCATGCATGCCGCTGTACTTCCGTGGGTTCTCCAATGGATACAGGACACCAGGCTCGCCAGAGGGGCCAGCGCTGCCCGCTCTGCTTCGTAAATTATATTCTACGTGGTTAACTCTGACAAAACGCACTCATCTTCCCGTGGCCACCAGACCTGGCCAAAGCAGCTCAGTCCCATTCATCCGGAGCCTCTACAAATCAGGATGGAGGAAAAATACTGGTTTTCCCTGTTATGGAATCATTATTTCCATGTCCCTGGATTAGTGTGGGCTGAAGGCTACCGCAGAACAGTCCTCCGCCGGACCTGAGCTCTTCACCCACAGTGACTGACTCTAGAAATAAGGCTGTGTTATTGCAATTTACACCAAAGGGGAGGTGCCCCCCGTGCCTTTCGGTAGGGCTCTAGGTATGAGACCCTCTGTACCACTGACTTCTACTTGGATCAATAGTTCTCCAGCATTGTTGATTATCTAGTAATTTTTTTTTTAAATCTTAAACTCAGTGACTTACAAGCCTCCAATCAACATTTTGACTAGGAATCTTCAAAGGTGGATTTGAGGTTTGTAAGTGAAGATTCCTATTCAGGACCTTCTTGCAGCGAATGGTGCTGAATCCTGGAATACTGAGTAAAACTGAAAAATATGGACCTTCTAAAATGGCACCTTAAAATCCATTCAGCTGCACATGAAAATTGAGGGTGCTGGTGTTACATCTCCCCTTTCGAAGGAAGGGGCTGGCGACTCGGGTTGGGTCACAGAAACCTGAGGCCTGAAGGAGGGACAGTCGGGCGCACCGTGGGGCTGGGCTCCCGCGGGGCTGCGACCTGGGCTTGCCCCGCCGCAGGGCTGGGGACAGGGACGCTGGTCGGGATCGGAGACTGCCCACGGGCACCGCAGCTCCAGCCTCGCCACGCACGGCCAGGCGCGCACTAGGCAGAGCTGTACCTGACTCACGGATATGGGCTCCTCGGCACCCCGGTCGTCGCTGGCCTTGGGCACCTCGAGGCGGTCGATGAAGGTCTGCAGCTCCTTGCGGAAGGCCTTCATCTGCGCGTTGATGCGGTAGAGCAGCTCGTGCTCGCGGATGCGGCTGCCGTCGTCCTCCTCGTCCAGGAGCCCGAACAGGTCCCCATTGGCCACGTAGATGCGCGCCTCGGTGATGATGGTGCTGGTGTCGGCGATGAGCCGGTCGATGGTCTTGCCCAGGCGCTCGGCCTCCGAGCGGATGTCCTTGAGGTGCTGGCGCTCGCACAGGCCCCGCGGCCAGGGCGCGGGCGCGGGGTGCAGGCCGCGCGTGGGTGTCAGGCAGCGCGCGTGCCGCGCCTCCTCCGGCTCGCTCTCGCCGCCAATCGGGCCCTCGCGCTTGCGGTGCGGTGGCCGCGCGTCGTCGTCACTCTCCTTCTTGCCTGTGTCACTCTCGGCGTCGCTGTCACGCGGGCTGCCACGGATGCCCAGGTGCGAGGCCAGGTCGTAGCGCTGCATGTTGGACATGAGCACGCGGTTCTCGTACTGCAGCTGCATGACCTTGCCGCTCAGCTCGTTGATCTGCAGGCGCGCCGCCTTGAGCTCCTCCTGCAGCGCCTCGCTCTTGGCGCTGTCGTGGTGCCGCGCGCTGCTGTCGTGGCCCGCGCCCGCCGAGGACTTGTACTTGTACTTGGTGAGCTCGGCGGTGATGCGCTTGTTCTGCTCCTCCAGGTCGGCCACGTTCCTGCGCAGCAGCTCCGTCTCATCCTCCACCAGCTGCAGGTGCTGCCGCAGCTCCGACAGTGACTCGCTCTGCTCGCGCATCAGCGGGTTGGCCGCGCCGTTGCTGAAGTCGTCCCCACGCAGGTCGTCCAGCTCCGCCTTCAGGCCGCGGTTCTCCACCTCCAGTTCCACGATCTTCCGGCCCAGGATGTTGGCCTCCTCCTCCACCAGCCGCAGCCGCAGCTTGAGCTCGGCCTCCCGGGTGCTCGGGGGCCCCCCCGCCTCTCCTTTGGGCAGCGGGCTGTCCAGGTCCCCGTAAAAGGATCTGTACTTCTGGAGCTCGTGCTCGAACCTGTCCTTCTCTTTGTCAATCTTGGCCATCTTCTTCCTCATCAAAGCGGCTTCTTCTTTGACGAACTGCAGCTGGCATTTTAGATCTTCATTGTCCTCCTTGTTTGGGGGGAAGAGGGAAAAAGACAGATCATTTTTATGGAAACGAGAGACACAATCAAGCCAGGACATCTGCAAAAATCATTTCTTTTTTCTAATTAAGATGTAATCGCACACAGAAGTAGAAATTACATGTTTTCTTCAAAGCTCTTGCATTCTTCAAGATTAGAACACTATTATATCCTGGAAACAAAAAGGAAAAGAAACCAGCATTGAAAACACTTCCGCCACTACTCTACGGAGATGATTATATGTTGTAACTGCACACCGCCGTTTGGTGACCATTTCAATAATGCTTTTGTTTCATTCTCCGTGTAGTCCAATTTCCCCTAACTGTACTGCATGTGGAATCTCTTCACCCTGGGGAACACCTGGCCCATAGGCAGTCACCACCACTTACTGAGCATGCGCTCGGGAGCCAGAAGCCAGTGAGGTTCTTTTCTATTGTGATTGAACTTAATATTCACAGTCACTGGATAAATCGTTATTGAAACAGATTAAAGATGTTCAGTGACTTATCCAAGGTTACACAGCCAGTAAATGGGAAGAGAAAAAGGTGAAATTTGAATTTGTTTGGGTCTGAAACTAAGGCTCATCATTGTTCTGCTATCCAGAAAAGGATCTTCCCTCTGTCTTTGTTCAAAGAGGAATTTTTTTTTTCTTTTTTTGGTGCTGGGAATCGAACTCAGGACTTCACACTTGCCAGGCAGGCACTTGTACCACTGAGCTATATCTTCAGCCCCAAAGGGGAATTGTTTAAAGTCTGACGAGGAGGGAAGGCTTGGCCCCAGGATGGTCCCGCCAGTGAGAAACTACAGCTACTCTGCACTGCCTCTAAAATGGAATGCAGCGGCATCAGTCCAAGGAGGGAGCTGGTTCCACCTGCTAAAAAGTTAACGGAGTAGGCCCTATAGATGGCCTCTCCCCCATTCATATGACAGCCCTGAAAAACCTCAAAGAGAAACAGAAATGTATTCATTCCCTGAGAGCTGTTAGAGAAATACATTATCATGTCTAAGGATCTATTTCCCAAGGATGATTTCTCAAGATTCTCTTTGAGTATGTCCTTTGGGCTAATTGTCTGACCTCTGTGGCTTTTGCTTTCCTCATTTTAATGTTTCTTCTCATGGTGCTGGTGATAGAATCCAGGGTCTTACACATGCTAGGTAAATCTCTACCAGTGTGCCATACCCACAGCCCTCCTCACTTTTAAAATGGGAATAAAAATCCCTTTCTCACTCAGTGCTGTCACCTGCATCTGAGATGCATTCTCCTAAGAAAGCAGGGGAGGTAAGAGGGAAGATGAGCTTCTGCCAGAGATATCAGCAGATCTGGCTGAGAGCCTCTGAGATGAAGAGGGCCACTGGGGCACATGGAAGTCCTGTCCTCCCAGCTACTGGGGACAGCAGAAGTGGTGGAGAGCTGCAGGGTGTGCACGCCTCAGTGCCCCAGTCCTCCTCTCCTTAAATCCTCATAGCCACCTTTCGAGTAGGTGAAACTTCTACCCCTTACAGATAGGAGAGGTTTCTTGACACATTGAGCACATGTTAGTCAGGGCACAATCGATATTCAGATTTGATTCCAAGACTCTGTGCCTTGCACTGGAATGGAGAATTCTATGCCTTGCCCCAGTATGGAGAAATTTTTTTATTGTATGGTTTTCTAAAGACCTCACAAGCCTCTGTCACCTTTCTACAACGTTCTTTTCTTTACTCTCCCTGTGCTATAGGAGCAGCTGTTCCATGGACCTATTCATTAGGAAAGAACAAGATTAGCACCCTGGGTACAGTTCTCAAATACAGCAGCACATCACGTAATAATGGCACACTGCTATGTGCTTACAATGTAAAAGCAATTATAATAGGGATGGCAGCGCTGGCTTTAGAAACAAATATATTAAATGCTTTATAACATCTGTAGCTACAGCTGCATAATTGATATGCATAACTTGATCGTTTTGCATAAGTCTACTTGGACATTATTTCAACTTACACAAGTAGCTAATTATAATACTCATTGAGAGGTGTTGGATGTATTAGTTGAAATCTTTCCACATACCTCAGTGGGAGTCTGTTGAGCCTTTTTTTCTGATTTTGGCAAATCTTTGCTTCCTCTTCTTTTTAATGACAACTAAAACAGAGGATGAACATGTTTAGTTTGGTAGATGGTAATTGTAATTCAATTTTGTCTTTAAGTATCCTACTCTCATAAGACAAAACCAAGACAAAAAAGAGTTCAATAATCATAAAGAAGGAAAAATACTCCAACCAGATAGATTTAGGTAATTTTTTACTTTAAACTGGGAATGTAGCTAGCAATTATCTGACTAATTTGAAGTATAAGAAATGTAGTGTGAAAATGCAGAAAAACTCAGATGAAATATAGCTAAAACCATATGCTATACAGTTCAGATGAAGGCAAATGGTTGTTAGGATTGTATATCACTAAAGAATTATGTATTGGAGTCAGGTTGATAAAAGCTTGTAAGGACAAATTCTCAGTGGATTTATGCAGAATTTAAAGAATCTCATAAGCAAACATGATGTACATAAGGTGTGAGTGAAAGCTATGATGAATAAGTTTTAAAAATTTCATTGTAGTAAAAGGTACACTGTCATTAAACCCCCTCAAAATATTCCCACTCACTTTGAACACACTTATCTCATTGTTCCTGCTACTTTCTGAATGCTTTTGTGTTTTAAGTTTCATGGTCCTGGATGCCTCAATATCCTGAATCCATTAAAAAAAATTGCCTTCCATGGCCATTTTGATGTTAAAGAAGAGATAAAAGTTGCAGGGTCTCAGATCAGGTGACTAGAGTAGATAAGAATTCATATTCATGCTTTTACAAGGGTCCCTTTCCATTGAATGACACAGTAAGATTCACGGCAGTTTTGATCACACCTTGTAAAGACATGAATGAGAACATGCAGTCCTGCTTTAAAAAGGGGCATGAATCATGCGGTAAGTGTGTTTGGAGTCAGAGGGAGTAGTTAGAGAGGGACTAACAACGACGTCTCTTTTACTGTAATAATTTTTAAAAAATTTACATATCATGTATTTTAGGCACACCTCATACATGTGTAACACAACAGGCAGTGTCACAGATGTCGAGAAATGAGAAAGTTCAGGTACAGGTGGATTGGGAGCAGCTCTAGACCCACTGGTGTGAGACAGGAATGTGGGCTTTTTGAAGACAAGTTGGGAACAGGATTGTTCCGTAAAATCTCTCACATTTTATTGGCTGGTCCTAATTAAAATTCAAACACACACTTTGTAATTCAGCATACTAACTAGAGCCAAACTGTTTCATGGGCCAGCAGTATATAATCATTCTGCTCAGTTCCATTTCCCAACCAATATGATAACAATGCTTTCTCTATGTAAACACTAATTATCCAAGTGTTTGAATATGTACTATATGCCAGCTATTGACTTGGAGACTCAACATTCAATTAGACCCCACACCTACCATCAAGAGACTCAAATTTAGCAGGAGAGACAGGGAACCAAATAACTGCAGCAGGAGCTCGTAAACACCATGCTTTACATTATGCAAACGAGGGGCCTATGTGAGATTAATGGTTGCCATTTGGCAGATGGTGGGAAAAATATTTGAACTAATTAGTGTAGAAAACAGGATGTCTTAAAGTGAAAGACAGGACAGGGATAGAGACTAACAGTGGATGCAGGATGGCTTCTAAAAAGAGGGGATTTCATGGATTTGCAAAGAACTGAAAATTGAATGCTTCACATATTAATTTCAGATCCATTTCCAGTGTTAAAGAAGGAGTATGTTCAGGCAGAGGGGGTAGCAGAATACAGAGTTGCAACTGCTTTCACCTGTACGACACTGAAACCACTGAGACAAATGAGTAGCCCATGCCACGTGGTCATTTATTTCTAGTTCTTTTCAGAAAGAAATTCTCTGCATTGCTTGTGTCATCTTAGAAATGGAAACTGCAGGGCCTGACTCAGCATAACCAGAAGTGACTTAGGAACCAATCGCAGAAAGGATTCCCCAAATACCAAGAACATGGAGAGCTGTGTTAGAGAACCTACAATATTCTAGAAAGGGGCTACCTCTAGGGAGCACTAAATTCATTTTGCTAAGTATTTATTGAATGAATTTATGAATGAATTTCATATTGAATTCATTCCATTACATGTGTATTTGGTAAGTGCTAATGCACTTCGTAAGGAATGTATGCCACAGCAATACTAAAACTAACTCTGCTCTTTAAGGGATTTTCTATTTTACTCTGCCTGGTCTACTCAGCTTACAATTTATCAACAGGAGAAAAGCAATGATAATGAAAAAACAACATTAATTGGCCCCGATTGAGCACTAATTCATGTCAAACTCTCTGTACATCATCTCAACCAGTTTTTAAAAACATCTTTTTCACCATCACTTTGTAGATGCTTAACCGACAGCTTACAAAGTTAGATAAATAATCTAAAGTAGTGTTTCTCACAGTGTGTCACTGGAACAGCATCATCAACATTACCTGGAAAACTGTTGGAAAAGCAAATTTTCAAGGCCCATCCCAGACCCACTGAACTGGCCCTTCAGAACTCTGAAGAAGGGGCCCGGCTATCTGTCACTTGCAAAGCTCAGTAGGTGATTCCTAAACTGCAACTAAATCAGACTCTGACCAAGTTTCTCTGCTCTCTATCGCTGTTATCTGTTAGATCACAGAGGACAAAGGCTTAACCCAGTCAAGGGCTTGAGACAGTGGTGGTAGCTAGGGATGACTTCCTGGATGAAGAAGCAGCTCATCTTCAACCTGGCAGATGTGCAGTCACCAATGGAAGACAAAGAGAGGGACAGGCATTAGAAAACATCCCAGAATAACAGACAGGAGAAGAGTGACGTGAGATTTGCTGGTGTCCTAACTCAGAGCTTGAGGGACAGTGAATAAGGTTGGGATTTGTCTCACTCAGTTTAACTTAGTTGTAGTGATGGGCTTGAAGGAAAGACTGTCATAATTAGACTGTCACAGTTCAGAAACACACACAGGTGACTGTCTAAATTGACATGAGATAAAGGAATGACATGCAAAAGTTCTGAGGGCAAGTATGGTGTAGTTCTAAGAACATTTTCTGGTCTTTGTGGGTTCCTTTTGTTGAGTTTCTTGCATATATATGTCCATATATATATATATATATATATAATCCATACTATATATACACACATACTATATATATAATCAGTACTACATACACATACATGTAGACATATATGCATACTACATATATATAGTATTATGAGAAACAAATATGATTGAAACTATGGTTAAGAAATATTTTACTCTCCTCCTTAAGAGCTGCTTATGATCATAAAAAGATGCCATTAGGTAAATAACTCAGAGCAATCAATGAAGAAGAAACAAAACACTAGAAGAATAGAAGAAGTATGATTCCAGATCTAGGGCATCAGAGAAAATAATCTACCTTTCAATTTCAACAGAAATAAAACTGCATGAGCGGCAGGAGGAAAGATTCAAGGAACGAGCATGCGGAGCTGGTGCCCAGCTTCTGCAGGGAGGGGGCAGGGTGACTGTGGAGATGGGGCAGTAGCGACACTGAAAAGCTCAGGGTCAGCTGAGGTGCTGAGAAACTACGATGCTATCCTGGAGGCAAAGCTAAAATGAGACCTCTGAGCTAAGGCAGAACAAATGCCGAAACTAGGGCGTTTTTTCCTAAGAGGTGCTTTCTATTCCACTTCTATTTAAATATCACTTGAGTTGTTGAACTCAAATGAAGCTCTGAAAAAAAAAGGTTTGATTTCAATTGCCCTTAAGGTGCCTCGAGGAGTTCTGGAACGTTTAAGTATCACATTTAAATTTTTGATAAATATTTAATCATTTTTTCATATTCCAGCAGGTTTTTATTAAACATTCAGACTTGTATGAAATAAAGATGAGAGATTTATAAGGGTGGAGAATAATGTTGGCCCCGTCCTGCAACGATAAAACTGTCAAGCTGCTCGCATCGTCCTGCCGGCCTTTATCCTTTATGAGCAGTGTCAGAGGCAGGAACAAAATTGCAGACTTTTGTCTATTGGCAAAACAGGCATTTCAGATGGTTCTCCAGACAAATACATGAAAAACATTTCTTGTCCAATCCTTAATTCTTTGAATTCTTAGCATCAGCTTATCCAAAAGAGGCTGCTGTTGTTTTTAGCCATGTAAAGGCCAGGAGTTAGAGAATTTTGCCAAAAATTATGTTTGCTCAGCAAGTATATAAATAGGTTGGTTGTGCTCTAAGCTGTTTTGACATTGTCTTTCTTTCTCCATTTTAATTTGATCCCCTCCTTAATAGATAGCATCTTTATGTTTTCATCCCATAAACAACAGAGAAGAACCAGCCTAAAATGCTACTGAAAGACACATTATGTATATCAAGGTCTCCTCTGTTGATAAAATTAAAGAGAGATCCACTTGTATGCTAAGCCAACTATAGCTCCGTGAATAGCTAGGATTTCTAAATTGAGTATTACATATGTGCTGTGCACTTCTCTAAGCACTTTAATTGCTTCTACTCACTTAATCTGACAACAGCCTTATGAGTTTGACAGCATTATCCTGATCACAAAAAGGATAAACCACCTAGTTAGAACTAGGACGACATTCACCCTGCTTGAGAGCTTTGGCTCTGAACAACTACATTATATTGCAGCTCCAAAGGAAGAAAAGTACAATCTTGCAAACAGGGTTTGACTATTTCTGAGCTATAAGCACAGCTGCATGGGTTTGCAGCACCCGGTCACACATATTACACACACGCATTTCAACATGAGGACAGCACACACACACGCTCGCTGGTTCTCACCGTCGAGCTGTACTTGCGACTTCAAGGCAGCACTGGGAGGGAGGTCCGCAGATGCCTCTCTGAGGACTGGAGGGAAACTGAAAGCCCCAGGAGCTCTGTCGCTATCGGGTCTTGGGAGTGCAGGAGGGACTCTTGTCCCTGGGGGTCCTCTTTCCCTTCGGTGATAGCCTTGACACTTACCAGTAAGTTTGGCAGAAGAGGGACAGGGAGGGTGGGGAGATCCAGCTCAGCAACACTCCGTGCAAGCTCACCCTGAGAACTCGAGACAGCTGGGGAGCTGCATGCTAAGGCAT